TTTCCTTGGCAATTAGCACTTATCAAATGAATGAAAGGAGGATACAAAACCAACAGCCTGCACTGGAGATCTCCTTGCAGAGGGGTCTCGGGGAAGAGACGAGCCAGTCAGGGGGCAACATAGCAACGATGAAAAATACAACTTTCCTCTAGTTCCTAAATGTTTCCTCCCCACTCCCACTATCATGACACGAATTCTACCTTGTAAGTCTGGCTAGACCAGAGGATGTACACTGGTACAGATAGGAACTGGAAATACAGGGAATCCAGGGCGGATGATTCCTACAGGACCAGTGGTGTGAGTAGTGATATTGGGAGGGTAGAGGGAGAGTGGGTTGGAAAGAGGGAACCCATTACAAGGAACTATATGTGACCTCCTCTCTAGGGGATGGACAACAGAAAAGTGGGTGAAGGGAAATGTTGGACAGGGCAAGATATGACAAAATAATAATTTATAAATTATCAAGGGTTCATGAGGCAGAGGGAAGCAGGGAGGGAGGGTAAAATGAGGACCTAATGCTGGGGGCTTAAGTGGAGAGGAAATGTTTTGAGAATGATGAGGGCAATGAATGTACAAATGTGCTTTACACAATTGATGTATGCATGGATTGTGATAAGAGTTGTATGAGCCCCTAATAAAATGATTTTTTTAAAAAAACCCAACAGCCTGGGGGAGCAGGGAACTAAAGGGCAGATGATATCAAGACATGCAAGGAGAAAGAGAAGGTTTTCAAACTGTGGTAGCAATTGTACAATACTGCTTGATGTAATTGATACGATACGATATCTGTATGAGTTCGCAATAAAAAGATTTGGGGGGAGGATAAAACAAACAACAGCATCGTTTTTCTTAAAATAGTGACGAAGTCAAGAGGGAATTATAAGAATAGATAAAATTCAGAATTCTTTGAAAACTGGCTTTACAAAGGGAAATACTAAGAAATTCATTTCAAAATTAACATGCAAATAAAGCTGACCCACTGTGGGTGTCTGAGATTGTTAACTGTCTACAGGAGTAGAAAGCCCAGTCTTTCTACCAAGGAGGTGCTGGTGTTTTCCAACTGACGACCATGCAGATCAATACACCACCAGGACTCCTAAAATACATATTAGATAATTTTATGAAACGAACTCAAACTCGCTGCCATTGGGTCCACTCCAATTGACAGCAACCCTCTAGAAGAGAGGGGAAGTGGCCCTGTGGGTTTCCTAGACTTTAACTCTTTACAGGAGCAGAAAGCCTCATCTCTCTCCTTCAGAGTGACTAGAAGGTTTGAACCGACAACCTCTGGTTAGCAGCCCAACAGGTAACACAGAGCACCTTACTAAGTTTGACTAAATAGGTTATTAAAGTGCGTATTACTTGTTGCTGTTGTCCTAAAGGTTCAGCAAAGCAGTTCCATCTCACCGTGAGCCTGTCTACTACAGAGTAAAACCCTGCCTGCTTTTTCACCCTCCTCTCGGCCTTGCTGTGGTTGGCCCATTGTTGCCGTCACTGTGCCAGCATCTCCCTGAGGGTCTTCCTCGTTTTTTGCCGTCTACTTGAGCAAGCGCTATGCCCTTCTCCAGAGAGCATGAGAAGAAATCTTGCCATCCTCACTGGAAGGAGTGTTCTGGCTGCTTTTCTTCCAAGACAATTTTCCTTTCTTCTCCTGGAATTCTGTGGTAAATATGAGATTCCTCAGCAACATCATAACACAAAGGTGTCCGTTTTTCTTCGGTCTTCCTTTTGCATTCTGCAGCTCTTGGCTATATAGGAGGCAACTGAAACTACCATCACTTGGTTAAGGCACACCTTAGTCCTCAAAGTGACTTTAAAGAGGTCTTTGGCAACAAGGATGCCCGATGCAATACAGCATTTGATTCTTTGCTGCTTCCATGGGCCTTGATTGAGAATCCAGGTAAAACAGAAGCCCAGACAACTCCAATTTTTCTCCATTTATTTTGGTAATGTTGCTTCTGAGTCCAGTTATGAGAACTCTGGTGTTCTTTATGGTAGGGTGTAAGCCATACTAAAGGCTTTGACTGTCATCAGTAAGTATTTAAAACCCCTAAGCTAGGTTGTGTCACCTGCATTTCACAAGTAACTCCTAATGCCATGTCTTCTTCACATGACCCAGCTTCTTGAATTATTTGCTCAGCCCGCATAATTTAGAAGAGACAAAATCTTATGATAAAATTGAGACTTCTGCATTTTCTCTAAACAAACTTCTGCCCATGAGTTGATCCTAACTCATAGGGGCCATAGGGGACAAAGCAGAACTGCTCCCACAGGGCTTACAAGGCTATTGACACATCTTTCTTTCAGTGACCAGAAGTGGGCTCAAAACACCAACCTTCCAGTCAAATACTTCAATCACTGGGTCCCAGGGCTCCGGGCACTTCCTCTGGATACCCCAAACGCATTGCCATAGAATTGGTTCCAGGTCACTTTTAAATAGGGAGGGAGCCCACAGTCTAAAGCTATGTCTTTTAAAAAGTGTATTGGTTGTTTCTTTTTGCTTGTTTTGCCTTAAAAGCTATTTTAAAAAGCTATCAACCCTACACTGTGGATCTACCTCCAAAATGCCAAATCACCAGCTGATCAATCAGCTAGAGTAAAGCCCTGTACACCAGGATCACCTCTCCCACCTCGTACCCCACACACCGCCATCATTCCTTGGTAATACTGACTCCATCTGAAAGGAGCCCTAGCGGCAGAGGGGGTGATATGTGGGGCTGCTAACCACAAGGTCAGCTGTTTGAATCTACCAGCCACTCTCGGGTAGAAAGATGAGGTAGCTTGCTCTTGTAAAGACTTACAGCCTTGGAAACCCAAAGGGATCATGCCACTCTGTCCTATACGGTAGCTAGGAGTCAGAATTGACTCAATAGCACGGAGTGTAGTTTGATTCTTTTTTGGATTCTATTTGACTCTAAAAGCTCTCCTCCGTCTACCCATCCCTAATATTGCAAGCCTTTCAAAGCAAACAAGATTCCTCCCCAAATAATGATAAGCTTATTTGATATATGAGTCTATGCTTAAGAATGAAATATAATGAGAACTCCTCTCCCTCTTTCTTATCCCCCCCGCCGGAGTCTTCAAGCCAGGATCCTATCTTATTCAGTCAAATAAAATAACATTGTCCCGAGATGGGATCCCCAGGTGGTATAAATAGTCAACACTATGCTGCTAACTGAAAGGCAGGTTGGGTGTCACCCAGAGACACTTCTATGTATAAAAAAGCACCCGTTGAAAACACTACAGTACACAGCTCTAGTCGGATATACATGGATCACCATTAGTCTTCATCCACATAAGGCAACTGGTTTATGTGCTAGTAATATGGCAGCGTGTGAGGGCAGGGCGGCTTTTGGGAGCAGACCCCTGATGCTACAACCCCAAGGAAACTGCCCACCCTGCCTCTTTGCCAAGCTTTAGCATGGTTGAGCATGGTCCATTCCTCTTTTGTTCTCTCAACCCATTCACCCCTAGGCCACCCACAACAAGCTGCAAAACTGTAAACACAGGCTGACCAGTCTCCAGAGCTGAGGAAGCAGCCAGCAGGCAAAGTCGTACACCTGCAGCTCTACAACAACGAGTCTTCAAAATTAAATGAGAGGTCCAGAGTAAATGTCCCTCAAAGTCCATCAGACTCTTACGAGCCCAGATCCAAGATCCAGATCCTTGGGCCCACCCATCCCAGCTTAAGGTCATGTGAGAACATGCTGAGTGTGCATGCACATTTCTGGCAGCCCCAACTGCCAGGGTGCTACTGTTACAGGCTTCCTACTGCTGAAGGGTTCCCAAGGCAGTACAGTGGATAGAAACACTTCACTATTGTTCACAGGGAAAAGAAACAAACAAACCTAATTCCCTTATCATGGACATGAAGGAAAGACCAAGCAATAATTCTCTTTCATCCTCAGAAATGAACTAACCCAGTGGAATACATACTTAGACTGCTATGTGGGGGAAAAAGTGGAGGTCACCCTAAGGGTCTAGCACAGAGCCATCCCTTTGACTTTCCCAGACCCCACCTCCATATTTGGAGATTTTTTTTAAACAAAGTGAAAAATGGCATTTTCTTCTTCCCTGAAGGCAGAGATACAAGGCACATAAGAACAAAGAAGGCTTTATTATCACATTAAACATTGAGGAGGAAGCATGCTTATTTACTGATAACTCTGAGGTTAGCCTTTGCTTTCCTAAACTGCTCGGTTTAGGTCAGCGTTTACATTGAAATCCCAGACTGGGGGTTAAAATGCTGTGCCAGTGGCAAGGTCATGAAGGGAAGAGAGGAAAGAGGGAAAGGGGCCCTTGGGAAGCAGAATGAAGTGGAGAGAGAGAGAGAAAGGCACTCTGTACTGCAGTGGTCTCAGGAACATTTGCCCTCTGCGCCCTTAAAGTGATTCAGCAGTAACCCCCTGCCAGACCCTCCTTACAGAAACTTCTTCTGGAAAGCCCCGGGGGCAAACAACAACAAAACCGCATACTTTTACAAAACATTGTGAAAGATATTTCGCAGGCTAGTGTCTTGTGCTTTTTGCCTAAGAAGTTCCTTCAGCAAGGAGAGAAGGAAAACAAACCAAAACAAAAACACCACCAACAACAACAGCGCTACAGTCCGCCACCTCCCCGCGCTCTTGGCAGCCTTGCCCAAGGTACAGTCCAAGGCCTGTACCCAGAGCCCATTCAAGAATTCCACCTCTTCGGAAGTGTTTCAAACACAGTCACTTGATCTTCCAGCATTTGCAAATGCACCTGCTAAGCAACAAGTCTGATAGCCACAGGGCCATGCGTTCCTCCCCGTCTGCACCAGGAATCCCATGGGCTATTTTCATATTTCAGATTTAGAGTTGTGACCAGAAACACATTTTTAAAAAGCCATACAGTTCAGTTGCTGCAATGGATTTAACTTTACCTGCCCAAGTTGTCTCTCTCCCCAGACCAACTTCCCGGTCACTTTTCCTGTCTTGGTGCATAAGGAGGTTTTTGTTTTGTTCAATGCCAGGGCTTACCTGGAGGTGTCTTCGTCCCCTGCCTTGGCATGGCTCGCCCCCACGGCCTGGTCCTTGCCGCTGGGGTGGTAGGCGGTCAGCACAACCCCCTGCGAATTGGAGAGCCAGCTCATGGTGAGAGAAGGGGCATAATTTCTGCGATACTGACAAGAGAAGGAAAGAGAAGTTCCTGTCTTGCCTGGCAACTCCGCTCATTAGCATCTGCCAGCTCCTCCTCCCGGCCAGCGATCGACACAGAGAGGGGCGGGTCTCTCCCGGTGAAGGGCTGCAGGGCGCTCCAATTAGAAGCTGGGACTCACAGCCTTGTGGAAACCCGGGGCGATCCCAGTGTCAGTCAGGGAGGCTGGGACTAGTTTGTGGCTCCCCAAGTCCCTAGTAATTCCGATCTGATTAAACTACCAACTGTATACTCGGAACCTTAATGTAAGTACAAGCTGTCTTGGTTAGGAGACAGTAAGCTACGTCCAAAGCCTCCACTTACATTCTACCCACCACCCCCGCCCCCCACCTTTCCATTTCCATTTGATAATCTGCTAATTCCTGCAATTTGAGCAAGGGCATTTATTAACCCCTTCACGCCCGGCATTAAAACAAGTGTAGCAAAAACCAAGGAACTTGCAGAGAAAACAGTGGGGCAGCTGCCCAGAGACGGCTTCCTGCTTCTTGTATCCTGTTAAAATGGTTCTCATAAAAACCACCACGTACTCTGGAATGTACTCTTCAGAGAAAAGCCCATGACAAACGGACCCTCAGTACTCCGAAGACACAGACACTAAGAGTGTTAGATGTGAATGCAGAAAATAGCAGTAGTTCCTACGATTTGTTGAGCGCCGTCTTCTAATATGGTAGGCTTTTAACTAGTATCTCACCCAAATCACTTCTCCCTCTCCTCTCTTTAACACACACACACACACACCCTGTGAGATAGGCATCATTAGCATTCGCATTTTATAGAGTATAAAGAAAGTGCAGTTGAAAGACCGGCTAAACCACATGTCTGAGAGCACAGTAGGTGCTTGGTGGCTCTGTAGGATAAGAACAAAACTGCTGAACAACAGGGTCAGCAGTTCAAACCCACCAGCAGCTCTGAGGGAGAAGATATTTGCTGTGGTAACAAACTCAGAAACCCCATATAGGGTTCTGATGAATCTAAATTGACTTGATGGCAGTGGGTTTGGATTTTGGGTTGGTAAATTCCAGAAACTGGTTTTGAACAGAATTTTAAATTACATTGTTCAACCGCTATGCCATTGCTATTTACAGATCTGGAAACACACTGGAAAACTATAAAAACTACCCTACATTTTATCCTCCCTCCCGTAATAATTTTACTCTTTTCCAAATTCTCAATTTGTTGTTGTTGTTGTTGTTGAATGTTCCCTTTACAACGCAGTGAGCTATATAAAATTCTTCATAAACAGTTTTTCAGTGTATAACTATGCTGCTTATTTTTCCATATTTTAAAAGATGATAAGAATACTTAAATACTCCTGAAGCTCCTAAAAGAATCTGAAGAACCTAAAATTTATTTTTTAAAATTTCCACTTTCATTTGTACATCAAGTTCTCTCAGTTGTAATAACCTTTCTATTATATCTATTTTCCTCCTTGTCTACCTATATATAGGGCTTTCTCTTCCCATTGCCACAGCACTGGCAGGGCACTAAGATCATGTCTTAGCTTCGCTATTAAAATAGTCCTACATTGGAATATATACATATTGGTACATACACATGTTAGAATACTATTGCATGCAACGGTGAATCTTCAAAACACGTGGAAGAACTAGGAGGATATTATGCTGAATAAAACTCATCAGTCACAAAGGGCAAATATTGTATGAGACCATTATTATAAAAAGTAAAGAACAAGTCTTCACATCAAAAGAAATATTCTTTGATAGTACCAAAGATGAGAAATGAAGAGAGGGAGGGGAAGTCCTGGACTGGAGATAAACAAGGTCAAGTTTGGTGCAGGGGAGGGCAATATGTGATAAGCTGGCGCTTAGTAGATAGGAGGCAGGGGATGACACTGGGAGGTTTGCAAGGGCTAAAAGCAACCAAGCCATAGCGATGAGTCACAATCTGGCTAGAGTGATGATTTGCAAGTAGGTACCTGAATAGATACACAGACTAGTGGGTCCAACACTAAACCCACTACTGCCACCAAGGGTCCTTGGCAATGGATGGGTTGAAAGAAAATGTGATGAGCTGAAACAGAGTGTCAGGGAGGGTGAAGAGGAGCTGAGACCAAGGGCAAAATAGAAAGTAAATGTCTAGAAAACAATGATGGCAACATATGTACAAATGTGCTTGAGACAATTGATGTATGGATTGTTATAAGAGCTGTAAGAGCCCCCAATAAAATGCTCTTTTAATAATTTTTTAAAGATGTGAAAACATACCAAAAAAGTATGAATGAAGTGTTGCATGTAAAACTAATGATCTGATCTGTAAACATTTACCTAATTAACAATATGAAGTTTAAAAACCACTGCCACCAGCTCAAACGCAATCAAAGCCATAACCTTTTTAGCACATCTGTTTGTCCCCTTCAGATTACCCTCCATGTTATTAGCATACTCAAGTTCAGTCCTTATAATGACCCTGTACGCTTAAAAACCTTTTCTGGGTCCACTGAAGGAACCCTGGTGGCATAGTGGGTGACAGGTTAGGCTGTTAATCAGAAGGTCAGTAGCTCAAAACCACCAGCAGCTCCCTGGGAGAAAGAGGAGGCATTAGACTGCTGTTAAGAGACATTGTCTTGCAAACCCACAAGGGCAGTATTATCCCGCCTACAGGGTCACTATGAGTTGGATTCCACTCAAGGGCACTGAGCTGGGTTTGGTGGGTTTGGGATCCCATTGTCAACCAACCAGCTCCAAACTTCCCAGCAGTCCCTTGGTACCTTACCCATATATGAAACTTTGCTACTCTTAGCTGCCAGATACCATGACCTCAGAGGGCCACCGCCATTCCTTGCCCCGCCTGCAGTTCTAACCTAATGTCTTCCACAATGTGGGCCTTCAATGAGAGTTGAATGAGTGAATAACTGAGAGAATATGTATCCCTAAAGAATGAAGTAAAATTTGTCATTAATATAGGTAACATGAGTCAAGTAGATTTCATCACATGTTCAGAAACAATAATATAGGACAGAGAGACAACAGGTAAATACAATGGAAAATATGAGTCATTAATTTTTAATAATTTTACATGGAAAAATGATAGAAGGATCCCATATGCATTCACATTTAAAATATATATATATGACTACTTTGAAATGCAATGAAAAGGGAAGAGAGTCAAAAAATATTGCTACTGGGGACTCCAATTCATACATACATGAGTTCATTCCAAACAAGCATGCTGACATGTGTTCCTGGGATTAGTGGATGGCTGCAAACAAGTTCTGTCATAAGCCTTAGTATTATAAGGGAGCCTTTAAAAAGCCCAATCTAAACTGGCTCTTTAAGGGGATCTGCCAAGAGAAACTCAGAAGATGATGATGACTTGTCTTCTGGGACTCTCAAAGGGAAATCTTGATAAAGTTTCTCAAAGGACATAGGTTACTCATGGCAGTGCTACTACGGAGCGCTTTAAGAAAAACTGAAAACTGCAGTGGTGAGGAAAAGACCAGAAAGTTGTGCCCAGCCTCCCACCCACACCCCCATCACAGCAAGGCATCTGTGTAATGTTGTAATGTTGTCTGACTTAGTGTTTCCTATTTTATCTCTAGGTTCTAATGCCCATTGCAATGGCTACATAGGACTCCCAGACAAAATATGAGATTAAAATTTTATTAATGATGTTAACCAGTTGTAATGCTAGTGAGAAATGTTCAGGGTTGGGTTGTATATTAGGACATGCTACAAAGTTCTGGCAAATCTGCTAATAAACACCCAAGGGGCACACCACTTTGCTGTAAGCCTCAACCACAAGGCATTGAGCTTAAGGTCTGTGGATCAGCAAGCCCAGCTTCCTGAGTTAAGTGTCCAGAGGCACTCAACTCTAATAAGCCTCAGCCAGAAGGCGCTCAGCTCTACTTCTGTAGTCAGCAAGCCCAGCTTCCCAGTTAAGTGCCCAGAGACATCCTATTCTGCAAGCCAGCCTCCTGCACACAAGCACTCACTCAGCTTTACTTATTCTGTGGGGTGGGGAGTCCATCCCTCTGTTCCAGGCTCTGGCTCCTTGTTCTGTTACTGTTCTTCTGATGTTATAGCTGTCATCTGGATCCAGGAGGATCTACAAAGGGCTTTCTGGTCCAGAGAATGCACTCTACTCCCTCTTCCTGTTCTCAGAGGGCTCATTTTATACACAGCAGGATGGCACTCTCCAGGGAATCCTGTTCACAATGACTCCCAAGTGAGTCTTGTCAGGATCTTCCCCTGCCTTCTTACCAGACCCCTGCAAGGAAAGTGTCTGGTAGGAGTCAGAGACTTTGGCTGGAAGGACCACATGAAAGAATTCACTGTCCCTGCAGGTAGCAAGAGTTGTCCTAAGAGAATTCCATTGCAAAGCTTTATCACATCCATCCTATGGGCCTCATCACGTCTCTTCAAACTTTTTGGTTGTTCCCCAAACTCTAAGAATATTTAAAACAAGCATGATTTGTGTCTCACAAGGATGCTAACACTGCTATTGCATTACCAGGTGTCTATTGAAGAATATACTCTTTGGGAAAGGGTTAGAGACATAGAGCACTGTTTTTGTAAGAATATAGACCGGGTGTCGAGAAAAAATAGGTAGAAAAACAAAAGTACCAATAGGTGTACATTTGGATACTTTAATTTAATACATTCTCTATGATGTTCTTTACCCTCTTACATAAATCATTACCTTCGCAGTGGAAGCCTGCACTCTCATCTTTTGAAGTCTTCTTCCCCTTGTTTTTCCTCTCCAACGCAATTCTCATTTTTTCCTTACTTCCCTCAGCTTCTTTTCATCCTTCCCCTTTATTCTCTCCTATTTTTCCCTCTACTGTGTCTTCCATGTACCAGGGCCATCCACCCTTAATAGCAGCCAGAGCCATGCCAACTCTTAGGACCCAAATCAGGAAAAAGAGGCCTTCAGTCCAGCACTAACCAACATGATGATTAAATTATATCTTTGTCTAATTACTCCCTTTACTTACTTAGTAACAAAGCATGTAATATATAGGCTGGCATGTAAATATTT